CCAGAAAACCCTGTTTCAATCCCTGTAGTACATACCTTGCAGCGAGGCCTGTAAGTCTTTCATATTTTGATCTAAAAGCTGCGAAGGAAGGAATCCTGAGCCTGTCTGGGGCTTGGGATCTGGCTCTCCTGGGGCCACAGTGGGCGCTGGCTCCTTTAGCCGGCCATCTCCAAACACAGCGGACCACTCTTTGCTGAACTCTCCCTCTTCCAGGGAGGAAGCGTTGAAGATCTCACTCAACAGCAGCAGGTCATCTTTGTCAGCACCTTCATGCTCCAGGGTCCCTGCCGTTGGGCCCAGGGAAGCTGAAAGAAGTAACAGAGCACAAAACACATCACCACCAAGGGCCCAGGCTCTAGGGAATAAATACAGTAGCGGCTGAGATGGGACAGACGGGGTGATGGATAGATTTTGTTTTATAAGTTAATCAAAATATAAATGAATCCCATTATAGCCTCTCAAGAAATTACAGAATTAAATTTCTAGTCCCAATGAAGTCGAGCAAGACCCTATGAGGCCTTTCTGGGGACAGACCTCTCCATGTCCCTCACCTCTTGTTTGTAAAAATTAAAGTTTTAGCTTCCTAGGCCTTCCCATATTTCCAAAGAGCAAATTTAATAAGAGAAGTTTAAAAAATACAAAAACAAAGGAAAGCAATCAAACAAGATAAAATAATAGTTCTAGCCATAAAACAAAGTCAAGGAGTTGAGTTCCTCCTCAAGGGCTATAGATGGTATCCTGAGCCATATCCTTGAGTTGTTTTGCAGATACTAAAACCCCAATCAGGTGGAAGTTCACTGCACACTGACCACCAGCACATAGATGGGTTGAAACCAGAAGTTTGAAGATTGACATTCCTGAAACATCAACCGTTACCTTACCATCAACTTATCAGAGGATTGTGTAATCAGAGAACTGTGTGTCCTACAACCCACACCCCTAACCTCACCTTGAAAACCCCTTACCTAAAAGCCATTGTGGAGTTTGGGTCTTTTGAGCATGAGCTGCCTGTTCTCCTTGCTTGGCCCTACAATATATACAACCCAACTTCATGAAGAAAAGAAAAGATATCTGGTTTGCCTGAGAGCAGCAGTGAAAGAATGGCAGGAAAATGGGGCAAATCACAGAATCACAAGAGGATGAGCCTCACAGGCCAAAGACACAGCCCTGGAGGGTTGGAGTGAGCACCAGACCAGAGGGGGGCCCCTGGGCCATCCTATACTTGCTGTGTGACTTCAGCAAGACCCTCTGTGCCTCTGATTTCTCATCTATAAAATTGTAACATTAATAATGGCCACTTTGCTATATTGTCAGGAAGATCAAAAGAAATACGCCTGAAACCTCACTGCCTTTCCAGAAGGAAGAATTTAAAGAAGAGATCTATTCTGACAACATGAACACTGACGAAATACTAGAGTGAATATAGGTAGAATGGGGGCATTACTATTAGAAATCCTATAACCTTTCATTGAGTCTTCTACATATTTTGAAAACCAAGAACGGATGGTGTTATTAACTGTGGCTTTGTTGTAGTATCTAATTGGCACTTGGAAATTGCTAACATTTTTTGTTGTAAGTCATGAAGACAAGGAACAATCGTGATTTATGTTTTCTCTGAGCGAGACTGCAATGCTGATACTGTCATATTAAGTGAGACCAACAGGTTTCCCTCAAATATATGAGCTAATAAAAAAAAAGTCTTCACTTAAGAATTAAATAAAGCTTATCTCTGTCAGCTTTACTGCATCTATTTTCAACCACACTTTACAGAAAGCTCTATAGATGGAGGGGATTTTTGACGTGCTGAGCAGACTGACAATACAACAGGGAAGGGAGGAGTCAGTCACTCTCCAGTCACTATGGTTTAAATATAGTGGCAAAATATCACTTTAATCAGACAACGGTCTGATTTAAGCATCCATCTTGTTTGTGTTATCATAGAAATTTGAATCAAGAGAGAGCCTGTGGGTGTGGTGGTGAGAAGACGGGGAAAATGGAACTTTATTAAATGGGCTTCTGAGATAGTTTTGTAGTAACAAGAGACCCTTAGGCCTGTGCGTGGTGGGAAAGTCAGGGCAGAAAAGGTGAGATGCCCACTTCTGTGAACCAAGGAAGGAACCCTGGTGGGACAGGGTGTGTACATCAACATGCACCTAGGCATCCTTCCTCCCTCACTCTCTTAGTGTCACCCTCTTTACATATAGTAACTTTACAAATTTCTGTACTTCCTACTTTCTGTTGGGACCAGAGTGCCTAAACCTTTTCTCATGGTTTAATTTCTGGCCTGGCTGAAATCAGATGACTGCTGAACCAAACCCATTTTACTGGAACCAGTTCAAGTCCACGTATAGCCCCTAGAGGAACAGAGGACTTTAAAGGAGCACTGGGAATTATGTATGCTCCTCCCGGAGTCACACTACAGCCCTCCTGGAGTGTCACCTGGGTGTCAGTCCAGGGAAGGTCACGACTAACATAAGCAACAACAAATAAGACACCCTGAGAGCCTTTCAAAAATAACCACAGACTGGAAAAGCTCTAGCTCTGAGTTTAATGTTTGGATTTTGTGCCACGACATTTAGAGTAGACTTCTGTGGGTTTTGCTAACTTAGCAACCCCTTCCTCCTCTTCAGTTTCCCTTTGGGAGACTCCTCCTCTGCCTGATCCTGGTGAGACACCACTTAAGATGCCTTGTCACCCACTCCCTGGTGGACACGTGACCTAGGCTGGCCAGCTGGCCAGAGGCCTCCTTTCTCAGGCCGTGGTGACTGGCTCACAGATGGGCACTGCCACAGGCATCACTGGGTTTGGTACGTGGAAGCTGTGAGGAAGAGGAACTCTCTTCCTTCAGGATTCTAAGTTCAAAAGATGCAGATTTGAGGCTCCAGGTGATGAGGGAGCCAAACAGAGAGGCTTACAAACTCCTTAGTTGAAAAGAGAATCCCAACAATACTGTTTAAGCTCCTAGATGCAGCCTTGCTTGAAGCCAGTCCACTTCTGTGCATCCTCAGTTACATGGTCCAACATCCATACAGGCTTGTACTTTCTTTTTATTTTAAAGTCAAACTATTTAGAGAAGGGTTTCTATTACTTCCGATCTAATGATTTCTGACTAATATTCTATCCTGTAAAACTGAAACGTAATGATCACATGAGAAAAGGACCCATGGTGAGGATGATGTGGTCTAAAGCTAGTTCTAAACAGAGATTTAGTCTGCAGTCTACCATTGAATTTGGCCTATTACTTAGTGTCCTGGTTATTTAACAGTGAAAGTAGGCTGTACTGTGGATACTTTCTCTCTTAAGAAAACACATTACTTACCTAAAAGCATTTAAACTGGCACTGACTTGAACTAGAAAACAGGGAAACCTCCCAATTACTGCCCTGATAATTAAGATGCTTGAAAAGACTATACATAACTTGCAAGAAAAACTTAATTACAAGTAGAAAAGGACAGGTTTAGGTCTGTAACCAGACAAGCTAAGACTTGAAAAATAACACTAGTCAGTTGGCTCTTAAGACTCATGCTATCATTTTCTTTGGAAATAATTCAACTCTACTGTGAGAAAATGGGGGCATACACAGGGATATGATGAGCTCTTTGGGAGAAGCCTGGTGAGAGCCACGACTGAGGTTGGAGTTTCCACCTGTGTAGATGAGCAAGTATTGGAGCCCCAACCTGCCTTTGTCTTAAAGGATGAACAAAGGTGGTGGAGCTCACAGGTGCCAAATCCACAGATACTATTCCAAGCCTCCTCTGTGCTCTTGCTAGTTCTCAAGTCTCCACGCCTATCTTCCCATCAGACAACCCAACCACAGATATTACTACAAAAATAAAGGTAACAGACATGACATATTCAAATTCTCACTTCTTGGCCTCCAGGTCTACGACCCTCCTTGCAATCCCTCTTTCTTTCTGAGCTCAGCCCTCCCTATGCTGTCCCCCTGTTTGGGGATCCTGCTGTGCTCCCTACCATTATTCAACTCCAGCATCTGTGATCTTTCCTTCTCTAAGGCTCCTCCCTGACCTCGGATGTATGCACATCCCAACAGAAGTCAGTCTTCCCCTGATATTGCTGTCTGCCCCCTGACACCCTGTCAAGTTACTGTTGTAGCTTCTTCCATCTACAGCCACACACTCTACTCTGTCACCGCTCTTTTTCTGGCTGGCTGTAATCAGGTTCAGGGCCCCACCCTAAACTGAAGGGGCCCTCTTGAAGGTTAATGGTAAGATCCTCATGGCAGATTCCAACCCCCTTTTCTCAGGCTTCCGCTTCTGTAGAACTTTGCACTATGGCCCACTGTGGACACGCTGTCATCTCCTGGGAGTCCCCATAAAGTGCCTCTCTTGGATGTCCTCCTATCTCCTTGACGACCTTTCCCTGCTGCCTCTTCCTACTCTGTTTGCCCTTAAGATTTCCTTCTAAGCCAGTGTATCTCTTTTCCCCACTTCTCTGCCTAGAAGATCTTACCTGTTCTCCTGGTTCCAATGTCACTTGGGAATCTCCGTCTCTAATTCCAAGTTCTTTCTTGAACTTTGATGATAAACTCCTGACTGGGGGCCCTTTGGGATTTGCCCACTGGCGAGCCCGCTGGCACTCCATAAAAGGCACCCTCCCGCTGTGTACCTCTGCTCAGTTCAGCCGAGGGGTTATTACCCCCTCCTCAAAAACTTTCAATGGCTCCCTCTGACTCCTGAGTGAAGTAATACTCCTTATCAGGACCTCCAGAGTCAAGCTCTAATTTCAGCTGCTCACCAACCCTGCCTTCAGCAAAGCCTACAGTTGGGCACAACTCTTGTTTGCCATTCTTTGAACATGCTTTCCTGCCCTCCTGTTGGGGAACCTGCTGTTTTCTCCCAATGAGATACCCAAAGAGAAGACTTGTCCTCAACTGAAAGGAATCTTATATATTATCTTCTCTAACTCATTTTCCAGATGAGGGAAAAGACACCCTGGCTAGACGACCTCAAGGTCATATACTTTATTAGTTACAGATTACCTGGCTGTGGACCCTGGTAGTGCAGCACCCTGTTTTCACTTCAGGGCCTCTTAAGGATCTCATACATAAATGAGTATTTTAGTTTTCATAAAGTCTGGAGGGTTTCTAAGGTCAGATGGCTCCACTAACCCCCAGGCAAAGCCCTCGGCTACAGGCACTACAGCAGAGTGGCTGCCCTGCCCTGTCCTGCCCCAGGGCTCAAAAATAAAACCCCCAGGCCTCTGCGAAAACATTCCCTAGGAAGTGTGGTGATTCTGACCCAATGAGTTTTCAATGAGTGAAAACTGACATTCAGAGGAAGCTCTCAAGTTCAGACAGAGTGTGGGTGACAGAGAGCTAGTGTGGGAAACTTATGACAGCCCACTCAGGTGATATTTTTGAAATCATACTGAGTTTCATGACCTCAGCAGAAATTAGGAACACAGAAGATGGAAACAGACCTACACAGACCCCAAATGAGAGCTCAGGAAAACAAAGAGAGAAACGTCACAGAAGTTCTCCTCATCTGTGTGTGAAACAGGAAGGCTCTCTGGTTTGCTCCCTGGTCCCCACTTTCAACATTATGACTAATCGTAAAGGCCACACACTTGAAACACACATGAAAAACCCCAAACACCAACACTATCCTCACATCACCCAAAAGACAGCACAGGGGAAAGACGGGTAGGAAACCACCTTATAAAACTGTCTGACAAGAAAAATAGTCTTCAAGTAACAGATTATTCTTGTTTGGAATTCAATAACACTGCTTCTAAAAACTCCCTTCTGGTGAAAAAAGGACATGGACAATAATAGCAGATGGAGGAAAATCCACCCCACCCACTCTCTGGGATACACACACCAGAAAAAAAAAAAAAACAACGATGCTAGACCCTGAATAGACACTCAGAAAACACATTTTGATGATCCCCATGCCTGTGCCTCCATTTAGCATTAGAGCTTAACAAGCAAGCAATCCTACCGGAAGACTGGACACTTGGAGCAGGCGTGAATCTACACAGAACACTACATACCACAGAGTGATCAAGCAAGAACAGAACTTAATTTTAAAAGCGCACCAGTATCTTATGAAAGGAACAAAGCCAGCAGTTTATCCAGGGACACTGAGGGAGGGACACTGGAGGGAAAGTTCAACAGAAAAGATAACGGGCTTAGTATTTGCCACGTTGCCTGTGAGGAGGCAGTCAGATTCCTAGTCAGCCATGTATGAGTCAGGGCAGGAGATGGTTCTGAATGACTGGGGGTGCCCTGGGAGCAGGGACAGACACGTTTATCACTGCTAAAGCTTCTCACCCAGACCTGCAGGAGCTACTGAGGGAGCTTCTCCATCATTCTGATATTGGGCCAGAATGTAGGATCAGAAGTAGAAACCAAAGCAGCAGCCGAAGACAAACAGTTTAATTCCAATATGGCCTCTTAAAACATTGTTACATTGGTTCAGTTAGTTTTGTCCTATAGAGGGATCTTTTGGGTAAGGCCAAGTGAGGAGACTTATTAGGTGAGCTGAATTCATAGAACTCCCTTCAGGTTTATTCCACCACATTCTGTTCATGTATCTGATAGTCATTTCTCTTGGCCCAACTTTGAGGAACACAAAACTTCTACATGTTATAACTCATGCATTGAGGCCAGCATTGTCACATGTGGTCACAAGGTGATTTCAGAGCCACTTTTAAGTATCTCAAAATGTCAGTTTCTTTTCTCACGTAAAATGTTTCTATAAACTGGCCAAATATTGGTTTTTCATTACATTATCTATTTAGTAGGAGAAAACACATTTCATTATGACACTGAGCTGGAGTGATTTTCTGGGCCACGGCTCCTGGAGAACTGTGTCCTGGCTGTTGTCAGAAGGGGCTGCTCTCTGATAATATTATACCAGAGCTTAGCCAGGACTTGTGGAGCAGAATTACCACTGGGAGTGAACCGGCCCACAAGCAGCAGGGTGCCAGAGCTTACAGCCCCCCAGTCCTATAAAGGCAGCCCTCCCTGGATTAAACTCTTTTTATTTCTTGATTGTTTAATGTCTTACATATTATAATCAGTGTTTTAATTCAGGACTTGGGCCTTCTGGCAGTTTTCTGAAGGGCACACATTTTGAAGTCAACTAATTAAGAGTATTCTTTTCTTCAGTCACTGCAAGTTCTCTGTGCACTGAGAGAATATTTTTATACTCGGGGCCATGTTAATTTTTAAGCTGATGCTACCCTCGGGGCTGGCGACGCAGGAGAGGCAGACGGTGGGAAAGCATGGCTCGTGACTCAGGAAGGGCTTTGTGGGTTGGCAGTGATAAAGGGAGAAGAGAAATGATGTGAGATTGCATTTAACCAAGAAAATGTGTAAATCAATTTTTCTGCCTGAGAACAAGAACACATTTTGAAGAAGAGCACATTCATCTCTTTATCTTTAGATTTAAATTGAGTGCTTAAAAAAAAAAGGATATGAGCTGCTAGTCTCTGAAACAAAGGTTGTAACTATAAACCAATGTGGTGTGAAAGTTGTTTAAAGTAAGTAGGAAAATATCATACGTGTTAGAAGGAGGTCATGAAAGCAAGCCTGAATCTTGGGCAGTGGTGTTTCTGACTTAATTCTAGGAAGAAATGCATGGACAGTGGGTTAGTGTTGTACCATTACCACCAAGTTAAAATGTCAAAATCCAAAACCAAGAACCTTTTTTTTGTAAGAAGTGGGGAAACATGAGACTATAGACTTAAAACACTATTGGAATAGAGAGGAGAGTGAGGGCAGGAATGGGAAGGACAGGTCTGTTGGTGGTGGTTTTTTTTAACTTATACGTTTTTATTAGCTTTTTGTTTCTTGTACCAATGTGAATATATCACCTTTCAAAAATTATGTTTATTAAAATAATGAAATTAAATAGGAAGATGATAAAAGCAAAGAATAAAGGATATAAACAAGAAGTCAGGAATAGGAGAAATAACCACCTTTCCATTAAAATAGCTGAAGTTTATGTGTGATTATAAATAATTTTTTAAATGTTAAGACTTGCTAAAATTAGGTGGTAGGTACCTATCACTTGTTATATTAATATCTTTATCTTACCTTCATAAGACTGAAATATGTCCCCCTCCAAAAAATAATTTGTTCAAAAACAACTTTCTTTCATCAAAATATTCTATCCTTAAGCCAAGGGAGAAATGTTTTCATGAAAACTTAGGCGATGTAATCATGTAATGGCAATCTATATTAACAATTTGCTTTTTTACTTTCATAACCTAGTGGGATTTCAATGTTTACAAATAAGTAGTCATTCTGATAAAATACACATGGACATTCACGAAATATTGCAGTGTGTTGCCTGGAATGAGAAATTAATAAGGAAAGCGGGTTGCTGCCCTCAAGTTTGTATTCCTAAACTCTGGAAACCTTTTTTGTTTGTTTGTTTTTTAAGCCCTGGAAACTTCATGCTAGAGTTCTATTGCCTTTCCAATTTCGAAAAAACTTTAACCAATGTCCTCTGTTTTCCAGACTCTCTTCCTCTCACACTGTGGGAATTAAATCCAAATCAAGCAAAGACTGAGTAGAGAAAAATTGTCAGCCCTAGTTAATTGGCAGGATGATCTTTGCCGTTTCTAGTCTGTAAGAAACCTGTAAGACCAGGGAAGACTGCGTGCCAGTCACCCAGGGCAAGGAGGGCTCTAGAGTTTGGCTGAGACTCTCAGGGGTATTTTGGACTCTTGGTAAATCAGGAGAAGGAAACCCTTGGTAGGATGGAGAGCAAAGACATTAACCAAGCTGAACACATTCAGTTTCTTGGGATCACTTAAGAATACGCGTTCCAGAACAAATCATAGTTCTGGAATCTCTCATGGTGGGTTATTTAGTAAATGATTTTAGGTCTGGGTGTGGGACCTAGCCAGGCAAAGTCTCCCACTGCATTTAACTAAGCTCAGTGAAGAGAAGCACCATATACCAGCAGGGCAACATTTCTAGTCCTTTCATCTCAACTGTGTACCATTTGAAGAGTGTCTCTGTGTCAGAGATAGTGAAAGACCCTTTGCAGACTTGATCCCCAGTCCTGACAATAACCTGGCAAGATTGTTGCTACTGGTTTCAATTTACAAATGAGAACAACTGAGGCTAAAAGAGTGTAAGTACGAAGCAAGTTGCTTAAGGCCATACAGATCACTTACAGTAGAACCATATTCAATTCCAGGTTTGTCTGATTCTGAAAGCCATGCTTTTTGTCTACTCCAGCATACAACATCTAAACCAGTAACTTTTAGCTTTAGTAGTTTGAACTTTAAGTAATTATATTAATCATGGCAAATCCAAGCATACTATTTGGGCTCGGGCATATTTAAAGTCACTTATAAAGACAAATGACAGTCACTTACAAACAATTGCTTGGGAATGCAAAGCTATTCAAAAGATAAAAATTACATTTGCCTGCATGTAAAACAGCATTAAAATAGTAAAAAAGTTATAACCCCAAAGAAATGCATAAATCTTACCACCTTCCTCGGTTTTCATGTCTAACAGTTCATCTACAGGTTCGTTTGAGGAGGGGAAAGAAAAGAAAATTATGAGTCAGTTTCATCTTGTAAGGCGTTTGAGTCAAACTACTAAAATTGAGTTGTTTTCCTTAATCTAGATTACCTGAGCATGCATTATGTGTAGAGGTTTTGTCTAAGGCAGATAAAACCCTTTTTCCATCTTCAGCTGTAAATATAACACAAGCACTTGGTTATCACCAATTCAAAATGGTGTGTGTGTTCACACACTAATGCAGTGTAAGGTAAATACACGGCTTCAGGAAAAAATGATATCTACAAACTCAGTCATACAGAAGCAGGGGTCCTCAGATTTACATTTTATTCAAGCTGCTGGCTCTCAATGAATGCCCAGTTAACAGCCCTGAATCCTTGCTTTGTTTGGTAGAAAACTATATGACATTGACCTAACAGTTCTCTTTCCATGGGCAAAGGCATGACTTAGGTACCTGACTATCACTTGATGGTGCTAATGAAACTCAGCCACTGGGACTGGCTAAAATAAAAGGGCAGATTACTCAGTGAAGGAAGCCAATCCATAAAGGCTGCATACAGCATGATTCCAACTACATGACATTCTGGAAAAGGGAAAACTATGGAGACAGTAAAATGATTAGTGGTTGCTAGGAGTCTGAGGGGAGGGAGAGATGAATAGGGGTAGCCACAGGGGATTTTTAGAACAGTGCAAGTATTCTGTATGACACTGTAGTGGTGGATCCACATCATTATACATTTGTCAAAACCACACTGCACAGTATCTAGTGTAAACAATGGAATTTGAGGAATAACGATATGTCAGTGTTGGTTCACGGTGGTTTAACTTGGTGGGGGATGCTGGTAATGGGGGTGGCTATGCATGTGTGGGGGCAGGAGAATATGAGAAATCTTTGCACCTTCTACCCAATTTTGCTGTGAACCAAAAACTGCTGTAGATAATAAAGCATGTTGTGTGTATACACACAATAGAACAGCCTTAAAACTTGGTTTGCTCATATGTACATTAGACTTTCTACAGGTGCCAGAATGAAAGACAGATAACACTTCTTTATAATGGATTCCATTCTATGTATACATAAAACAAGGTAATCAACATTTGCAGTATCAAAATATTATGCAAATACCACAAGCAAGTGAACATACTGCACAAAGAGAAAATCTGATCCCCCTATATTGTCACATATCATCTAAATATGTGATTTATGTAATTTGAATACAAATATAATAAACTGGAATTTACATTATCCCACAAGATGAAAATTTTTCTATTCAGTTATCTAGATTCCCACAGGATTCATGCTGTTGACCCCCAAGGGATACTGAGGGTGGAGGGGGTAGGGCAGTACAGTCAGAAAGTTCTTATGTGGTCAGCCTGCCTCTGCCTTCTTCTACTGCTTGTTCCCTCCCTTCCGCTCTAGAATATTGTTCCTCTGACCTTCTCCTGGCCCTCCAGAGCTCACAGTCTTTACCCAGGCTGTTTCTTTTGCTTTGCTAGGTCTTGCAATAGCCTCGACTTAGCTAGTTCCCTGATGCTCTCCAACAGGTGCGGTCTCCCTATCACACATGCCCATCGCCCTGGGAGCTCTCACCAAAGTTGGACTTGGTCAATTACTTGTGTAACTACTAGATTACCACCTGCTTCCCCTTTGACTGTAAACTCCATCCAGGAAGGTTCTGAGTATGTCTGGGGTACCACTATACGCCCAGAGCCCTGTGCTGTGCCCTCCACAGAGGCGGTTCTCAATAAACATCTGCTGAACAAATGCACAAGTAGGTGAGTGAGTGAAGGAGTATAAGCATGAAAGGATGACATGAAGCCAAGCTGGAGAAGCAAAAAGGTGGCAGCTAAGACAGCTGGGAGAAAGGCAACCAAAGCAGTCAAGTGGGAGAAGAACGAAGTCGATGAAGTGGTTGGAAAAGAAGGAAGGAAGACAGTGTGAAGGGAAAGGACGGAAGAGACAGGGAGTCCCAGGGTGTACTTTGCCGTCTCCTGTCTCCTGGAAAGGCTGCCCCAGTGAAGGGCAGGGCAGAGCAGAGTAATCTTAGCTCTCTTCCTATCACCTATAAGACTTTCCCCTGCATCTTCAAGGATCTGAGTCCTAATGAAAGGTTCAGCTTTACATCCCATGAGTTCCAACACCCTTTATCATACCCTGTGCTCCTCATGAGAGAACCACCCACGAAAGAGCTGGCAGTAGTGGCAGGAGGCAGGAGTAGCTGTCAAGCTGTCCACAGCACACTCTACTGTCCACCCACGCCCTCATCCTGTTTCCGACCACACGAGGGTCTGGTGTCACTCATTACGGAGCAGGCCCCGGGCTGCCCTGGAAGAGCGGTGTCTGAGCTCTCCCAGCCGTTCCCAACTGCAGCCAACATCGACCCCACAATACGGTGAAAATCAAGCTCGCCCGATGTCATCCCGTAATCTCATCACAACTGTCTCTACCCAAATGACAGAACTAGTAATGGTCAGCAGAAATGTTATCATCTGTTGTAAAAAAAGAACTCTCAACTGTGGATGCTCCCTCAACGGGAACTGCTGAAACGACTGATGATGCTGTTTTCTGGTTCAAAATAGGCAACCTCTCTCAATAACGCTATAGGGTCAGCAGCACTGATATTTGAAAATTTAAAACTGAAACGATAGGAAGCAAATTAATATACAATTTTTTCAGCTGAAAAAGAAAAAAGGCCTAGAAGGAGTTTGCCAAAACACACACACACACACACACACACACACACAAACCAAAAACACAACAAACAAACAAAAACAAGCTGGCTACTGAGCAGCAGTATTTCAAAAGTAATTCTAAATAAAAATCAAAACTTACTCTTAAAACTAGAGGATTCCTTGTGCTGGTTTTCATCCTCTAATGAAATTAACCTTAAAATTAAAAAAACACAGTTTAGTAATGTTCTGAAAATGTTATACTTATGATAGAGCCAGATTTTCTGTACAATATCTATTGTTGTACTTACACACACACACAATATGAACACATAGTCAATTGCATGCTACATATATTTTGAAGAAGAAATAATTTGCTGGCTTTCTCCTGTCTCTGTACTGAGGCTGGGCAGTCGTATCTTAATATCTGAGTTTGGTTTTATAGTAAGGCACATATTTTTTAAATATCTGGGTAGGCAGTTAGGTATAACCAAGATAGACACTTACAGTTATCACTTTTAAAAACAGAGTTAAATAGGGGGAGGGTGTAGCTCAGTGGTAGAATGCGTGCTTAGCATGCATGAGGTCCTGTGTTCAATCCCCAGTACCTCCATTAAAAATAAATAAATAAACCCAATTACCTACCCCCCCTAAAAAAACCCACAAACAACAACAAAGAAAAAAAAATTTTAAAACAGAGTTAAAAAGCCGTTGGGCAAGCAGGTGTTTATTCTGATTCCTGGTGCTGCACGAGAGGACACCTCAGGAGGGTAGCTGAATTATGCAAGGCTGAAAGCAGGATCACTCTGAAATCCAGAAGCCCAGCGCCTCCTGAACCCTTACAATGCACAGGAAGATCATGGCAGAGACTCAGCGGGTACCTCTGAACCTCCCTCTGAGCACAGTGGTTCAACTGTACCTGCTATTGCTGAACAAAGTTCTACATCTGCACTGTCATTTCAAATAGTTACTGCATTATAATTCCTGAGCTTTTAGAAGTCACATACTAAAATAGTGAAGAAATATGAAATTAATCAAAACGAATCAAGACAATCTTGGGTGGTTCCTCTCTGAGTAAAAGCTAATGCTTTATTTTGATTGCAGTAACATACATGGTGAAAAGAAGGTGCTAGGACTCAGTCCAGGCCCTGCCTCTTACTACATCAGGGGTTGGGGGCAGTTCCTTAGCCTCTCTGAGCCTCACTTCCATCATTTACACGCCAGGGAAATGCCTACATTGATGACATAGAGGGTTATCATGAGAATGAGTTGAGAGAACATAAATAAAGCACCTGGCATTGTGCTTAGTACGTAGCAGGTGCTCAGTAAATGGTAGCAAGTATTAGCATTTATTACCAAGAATAGGTTAAACTGCTTCCCCCTAAAAATAGTCAGTTGTACTAGACTCAGATCACATTCTACAGTTGTTCCTACAGTAGAAAATTGTCTTCCTTCTGCACTAAACACATTTTCTACTACTTGCTTTAAAATTACAAAGGGCTAATGTCAGCAATAAATACTTCTGCTGGACAAAAGAGATATAGCTGAAACCTTAGAAACACAATAAAAATATAAGCCTATTTTCCCACAAGATTGTCATGTAATTTTTTTATGTGTGAAAAAGGAGAAGTGAATGGAGGTTGGGTAGTCTAATTTGCTTTCCCAGGTCAGCCAGTTCAAGGTTAACCCCATTCCCGTGGGCCATGACATATCCACAGAAAAGACATGGGTTCACATTTAAATGTCCTCCTTGTGCTGTGAAATTAGGAATCATGCACTGTGCATGTTGAAAAGTTCGGCTCAGTATTTAAAATGACAGGAGGCACCTTCTCTGTAAAGAGGCCAGAAAGGAAGATGGAGGAGTCACTTCCTGCCCTCAAAGCCACTCTCTGCTTCACAGAGGAGAAAACAGAAGGTCTGCACATAGCAAACAAAATGTCAAAAGCCAACCCTCTGCACGGTTACACCTGAGCACTGCGTGTGTTGTGAGGCAACTGCATGGGTGACTTCCTTCTCCGAGAGGAAAGCCGGGGACTTCCTGGCTAGGACGGGCTCTGTAAGTGGGGTTGACAAGAGGAACAGATGGGGGCCAGAACCCCGAGAGAGCAGGAAGCTGGGGCTGAGGCCCTAGGACACAGGCCCAGGGAGCACCGGGGCTCTTCCCTTTCTGGCCCCAGTCGACTCCTCACATATGATCCCGTCTAAGATCCCCAAACGGGCCTCTCACGGGCATGAGTGAGCCCGGCCTAGCAGGAACGTGTGTGGGGGTTAGTTTGGCCTCAGTTTTACCACATCTACTTGGAGACGCAAGGAAATGAAGCAACGACCCCGTGTCCGAGACCCCCGCGGACTCTGCCCTCACCTGTGGGGAGAAAGGTTTGCCAAGAGAAGGAGCCAGGACTTACTGACTGGGCTCCTCCCCTGCGGCCTCCGCACTTTCCTGCTGCGCAATCCTCTTCCTTTCTTCTTTCTCAACCAGTTTTTTCATAGGGCCTTGTAAGCTCTTAATCACAATAATGGAAAGGGAAACAAAAGAAAAAGAGCGATCCATGAAAAACTCAACTGCCACTGGTCCCAGTAATCAAACCTTGAATTAGAGGTCTGGGGAGGGAACCCTGAACCAATCAACTAGACAGGAACGAAATTTGATATGTTCTCAGGCCCATCCAAGAAACACTGGCTTCTACAGCAGAGTTGTTTTGCCACTAGATTTATGTTTTCCCTTTTGTGATAAGTTATTCAAAAGAAGGCCTCTTGGCTATTGCTAACTTTATTTTCCATCTTTAACGTGTAGCTAAGATAAACATTCTGTTCTGCCTGCAGCCCACACACTGACAGAGTAGGTTTTTCTCCCCTACACATGAGACAATTTTATTTTTAATTTGTTTGCTATTTTGCAATCTAAAAACAGCTTATTAAAAAAACCAAGAGAAAACAAAATCTTTTTTTAAACCCCAAATAGTGGCTTAACATATTCTGACAAGTTAACTCCCACGAGTGGACAGAGCAGGTGCATCCAAATCTGTGTAGGTTAAAAACGGGCGAGTCTTTTTTTAGCATGCAATTTCTCTGAGTTACTGCACTTAAAGTTTATTAAATATTTAAGGAAAGATTTTTTTTAAAGCAAGTACCTAGGAACTGTACACCAGTGACAAAGTTTGAAAAAGCAAAACACTCCTGTAACAACTGAAAAATGAGTTATACAAAAAGATCTCTATTTCTGGTTCTAATTGTAACACAAACACAAAAGAAAGATCTCAAGATATTTATCCTGCTTATATTCTCAGAACTATTAAAATCCAAGTCCTCATCCTTTGGGTCTTCACCTCTCTGTTTCTGCCTCCCTCATTTCTCTGATAACACACACACAGAAGAAGGCAATTATGTTTCAAACACCAGCTCGGACAGATGAGTAAGGTGGCTGACCCGAGGGCTGGATGAAGATGCTCTGAAGGTCAAGTCTCGGCAGAGCAGAGCAGTCATTGAGTTTGGTGTTGGCCATGGACACTAGATGGACACCGGCGTTACCCTGCCTGCCAGAATTATTTTCCTAAAACACCTAGGCCGTCATGTGACCCTTTTCCTCAAGAACCCACAGTAGTGTCTTATTTCTTTCCATTTCTAGTCCAAACTTCTCTGACCAATTTTAAACAGCCTCTAAAATGTGATCCTCTCTCACTCTTCCAGGCACCTTCCCACGCCCCTCACTCGTCTTTCCATTCAGTTAGGTCTGTCTCCTTGTGGTCTCCTGTGTGCTAGTGGCTCCCTTCCTATCTTTGCTCATTCGTCTTCTTTAACCCCAAAAGCTCTCTCTACCTGTCAGTCTATCCTCAAAAGTCCTCTTGGTCTCTGCAAAGCCCCCATCAGTTACCACTATTTTCCATAAAGTTTTGTTCACTAAGCATGCCAAATTCAAGAAAGGCCTTCCGTCTCCAAACTGCATTTACTATTTACTAATTTCATGACTGTCTGATTATACATCTCCTGTCTCATGTTTTGTCTCTTAAAAATATTTTTTAAATTAGAAAAATAATAAGACCACATGGAGAATGTTTGGAAATCAAAAAAAGGAAAAATTATTCTTAATTCCATTTCCCTAAAATAATGAGTCATTATTTTCATATATCTCCTTTCTAGTTTTTTTATACTCATACTATTTATATAATTGGAATCTGTGTGTGCCTAGTAGGTATTTTTATAGAGCATAGATATCCTCTTAACCAATTTAATTTGTGTAGATATTTCATAATCAAAAGTTTACTGGAGTGGAGAATATAAAAAACATTTTCTATATTGTAAATATTTACTATTGAATTAAAAATAAAAATGTGAATTCATTCACCAGTATTCTTATATAGGGCTAAAGTTTCTTCTTTGAATCCATGTCCTCTGATTGGAGTTCTGAAGCATTTTCTTGCATAAACCACACTCATAAGGCACTGCCATCATTTTTCATGATTCCCTATTTCTGGACATTTAGTTTAGGACACTCAGTCAGCGAACAATGTTTGAGCACTTACCAAGTGCCAGGGTCTGTTGTAGGTGCTGAGGATACACGGAGAACAGGACAGACAAAACTATCACCAGTGACAGGTCTAGGCAGAGAACTGAAATGGGGGGATAGAAAGTGATTGGGTCATACTCGAGGCAGCAGGAATGTCCTCTCTTGGAAGAGGTATTTCAGCTGAGAGTGAAATGGCATGACGGAGCCAGCCACGTGCAGCTCGGGGAGACCACGGGGCCCCAGGTGCAAAGGCCTTGAGGTGGGAATAGCTTGGCTTGTTTGAGGCACAAAAAGAAGGCCACTGGGCTATAGCGCAGAGGGCAAGAGGACAAGTCTTAGGAGACCAGGATAAAGAGGTCAGCAGGGGTCACACAGGGAGAAAGTTCCTTTACCCACAGTCATCGATATTTAACATTTTGCCCCATTAGTTTCATTGTCCTCTTTTGCTCTTGCTGTGTCTACTGCACAACAACAAAGTGGAATCCAGGATCCTCAGCTGGAGGGGAAGTGCTATGAAGGACAGAGCTGGAACTAAGGAGGCAGCTGGAATATGGACTGTACTCTAGTGCTGTATATACACACACACACACACGCACACACACCCCAAAAAGCATCTGGTAAAAGCTGGCCACACGTGTGTGCGTGTTTTGTAAATGTGTGACCAAATGGAAGAGTTCAGCAGATGTCAAGGACTTACTCATTTCAAAAGAGCTGCCAATCACAGCATTTTATTCACACACACACACACACACACACAGTCTTTCCAGAAGTTTTATTCTCCAAAGAGTAAGTTCAATCCTGGTCAAAATGAAGCCAGGAGAATTTTCAGCCAAGGCCCTGATGGCTCCAAGTCTCACTTTTAGATTCTGTGACACAGCTCAGGCCTCCTAGTTTACTCCCTTATCTTCTGGTTGTTTCCTTTGTATCCATCGGCCCCAGGCAGGGCCAGGATGGCTGCTCTCAGCCCGTCTCGCTGCCACAGCGCTTGCCTAAGCCCCTGAGATGCCCTTGACAGCTCCATGGTTATCATCCCTCCTGTCTTCAGCCTGACCTCCCCTCAGAACCACACTCCAGCAGCTCTCAGACAGTCCCTTTGTAATGTAAACCACTTCTCCTTCTTTTCAACCCCTGCCCCCGTTGGGCCATTAGCAGGGACTCAATTGTTGGCTCCCCGTCACCACATCACAGCTAAGTCACTATTGTGCTTCACCAACAGAATGGATGCAGTTCCAACCGCTACTTCACTTTATTATTAATAATTCCTGTGACAATCACTCCTCTCTTCCTGCTACTACCATTGTCCTTAAGACAATTTGGCTGTTGCCACTCAAGACCGGTTACATATGCACTCGTTGGCTAATAAATTAATGTACGTAAGGTTAAACAGCAAAAATTAGAAATCTTTAGCTAGGAAATTCAGAGATTCAGGGAAATAATATGAAAAGGCTTATAAAATCACAAGCAAAATTAATACTGTTTATTAAATATTAGAATTTTGAACCAAGGGGGTGTGTGTGTGTTCTTACTGAGATATAATTCACATACCACATAGTTCACTCATTTACAGTGTATAATTCAGTGGCTCTTAGTAGAGTCACAGTTGTGCAATCCTTACCACAATCAATTTTAGAACATTTTCAGAGGGCATCTCTTGAGGCAAGAAAGAGTTTTAGATCAAACTAAGCTATATTCCTCTACAGAACAAGGAAAACAGAAAATCCCACACCAGCACATGTGGAACTTGTTTCTTACAAAAGATGGTACACACTGAAGACACAAAGAGGCTTAGAGGAACTCTGAAACATCATGGAGGAAAAATCCTGCCTGCCTTCCTCCCTCAAAATTAGTTCCCGGGTGTGATTGTCAGACATAAGATATTCTACGTGGTGAACCCCGACTCTTTCCAAGGTTTGATGACAAAGGCCCAACTCGAGGCACGGGGTGGAAGTGAATTCATCAGATTAAAGTCCACAACTCAGCTGAAAACGCTTAACCCTGTAGCATCCTTGAAAGTCAGAGGTGACAGCACTTTCCGTGTGACGTGAACATCTGCTCGGGCAAAATGAATCTCAGAGCCCTGGCTGACCGTACAGACAAGGCAGCCATCAGATGGAACTACTCTGACTCCCTGGTTGATGGAAGCCACCTTCGAATCCATGTCCAGAAATGAAACATCAAAGGATCTGACGTTTCTAAACCCCAAACTCACTAGGTCCTTCATTAAAATTGCTTGTGAAAATCACTATGAATTAGAAGTAATACAGCATCATGTAAGACTGAAAGGTCCTCTGTGAAGGCAAGAATGTTTTTAGACTAAGTAACCTTTCTCTGCTCAGGCTGCACTGACATGCTAATAGTTTCCATCAACGCTTAAATGGTTTCAGGAAGCACACACACAATATGCAGGACCAGTGTGACAGAGGAAACGTACAGACCGAGCTTGCAAAAGTGTCTTAGAAAGGAAACAGCTTAATATAATAATGGGAGTTACTACTTCCTGTATTAGGAAAATAAAAGCAACTGCAACATTCATCTGAATGAAAGCAAAACTACTCAGCAAAACAAATTTCACAGGCAAAAAGGTCAGCAGCCAGCCCCCATTTAATGACCTAAATTTAATGTTTAACTTGGACAACTGAGTAACACTTTCTCTAATCTTTAATTATGACATTTAATTTTCTTATGTTTTTCCCATTAATTACACTATGTGTATATAAAGGTGCCAAATAATTGTCTATAAAAGGAAATAAAAGTGCTCAAAATAGCCAGGCCTGGTTAAAAGATGCTGAACTCAGCTGGGTGTGTGTGTATTTGTGTTTGTCTAATTAGTAGCACGTGAGGAATAAAAAGCAGAGGCCATGATGTTGTGTATGAGCCACATAATTCAGGGACATTTAGCACACATGGCCTCCCCACCCACGCAGCTGTAAACTTATAAAGGTACCTATATAAGGAACACTGTCCATCCATGACCAGAAAGTACTCTTGAATTCTACTGC